TATTATTTCCAAATCTTTTCAAGACTCATAGTCATACATTGACCAATGCCAATAGAAAAAGACAAAATGGTGATTTATAGACTAGTATTAGTATTTCTAGTAATCAAATATAAAGACATGTTTGTGCAGATCAAAAAGTAGAGGTGAATAAAAAAATTGTCATTTTCCACTATTAAGACTGTAAAACTAAGCCAATTTAAAAGAAAGACTGGCTGCTTATCATAACAAAATTGAAACAAAGAAAGACTTCTGTTTTTTAGTAGAGGTTTTACAGCGCTCGCAACTGCATAAGGTCATATCAGCGCCAGAAGATTAGAGGTGTTACAAGAGAGTAACAAAACATAATATTAAAGAAGAAGGGGAGATAAGGATGATAGATGTTTGATAGGAAAGAAGAAGCAAACCACACCAGAGCACCTGCCAACCACCCACAGACTTCTGTTATTAATACTATCACTGTTATTTCCCTTAAAATACAGCATAAAAAACTCTAAAAAGGCACAATTCTTAGAAAATGCCTGCAATTCAGCGTTCAAAGCAATGCAACAGCAAGATATGCTTTTCAATATATATAACATTAACATTAACATGGTTGTGCAAGTTTTGTGTACATTGTAAAATGTGATAATGATATGACTTCATTGAAACAATTAAAATTTGTTCAGAAATCATTAATTTTTATGACCCTGTAGGTTAAGTTAAGGCCAATGCTGGTCGCGTATGATAATATCATAAGCAGAATGACAGAGACACAAACATAAATTATCTAAAATTTCTAAAAGTATGTGATTTAACGCAGTTGTTGTTGTAGCAGTTTAGCGTTACCTTACAAACTATTCAGATAATTTAGGAGGCAGGCTGCTTTGACCCTGCCTACCATGGCCACCCTGGGCAGAGAACGACAGAATGTCCCAGCAGAAAGACGGAAATACTAGGTCCTCACCACAAGGGAAACAAACTGTCGTCTCCTGCTTGCGATAGCAAAGTGCCTATCCGCTACACCCCTGATGCCACTTTAGCTTAATGCCCCCTGTAAACAAAATAATTTCCTTACAGAAAGAGGCGGGGCATACAATTTAACGTCTCCGACAGGACCGAGTAAAGAGTGAAAACAGTGCTCAAGCCATTCAAAGAACTCCTTATAGGGATTCAAACCCAAATCGTCCTCTCTGTAGCCCTGCACCATACCAACTGAGCAAAACCGTTGACTACTAAAACATGCCCACAGCCACTTCTGTAACGAGACACAAATCTCAATGCAAGAACACTCAATGTCCAGAAAGTAAGGTTTGTTTAGTAACAGTTTAACGGCACTTGCAACTACATAATACATTAGTACGCTCAACAAAAGAGTGCAAGCAACAAGTTGGTTGTATTCACGACAAAAGTGTCTAGGCAGAAACGAAAATGGGGAAATGGGGAAATGGTATAAGTTGAATGTCCCTATCAACACTATTAGTATTATTAGGTTATTTAAGAGGCGAGATCTCCATCCGAGTTTAACGTCCATCTCCGAAATAACCAAGCCATAAAGGAAATTCGTGTAAAGTGTCTTTCCCAAGGACACAACGTCGAAGAGAGCTAACACTCAAATCCCCAAACATACAATCTCACAATTATGGGTCCAGTAGCCTAACCACTAGGCCACCGACGCCAGTAGAGAGAAACGAAGCATTCAGCAAATGTAACAAGTAATAAAATAAGGCCTCGAGGGCAATACCAATCTGTTACATAAATAACAACTGTGTACACTAAAAAGTAAACGGAATTCAATAGAAATCCAGGAAACAAAAATAGTAGAAAAGTGTTTAATTGACGGATGTCATACCTGGTACAAATACATCATAGTCACCTGTACCGTCACCAAGAGTAAGCTCTAGACTCCACAAAGAAACCTGAAAGGTTGTTGAGCTTAAAAAGTTCACTTCAAGTCGGCATGAAACGACTGCGCATACCGGTACCACAATATCGCAGCAGCGGTCAGGAGGAACCGAGTAAACCCAAAGAGAGGGTTCCCTCTGGTACAAACACATAACGGCCACATGTACTGACAGCAAAAGAACTCGCTGCTAGGTTCATTAGTTTTCGTTCAGTAAGAGTTTTACGGCATTCGCAAAGTCTACATACCTGTCTGGTTCAATGAACGTTTCCGCTCACGTTTATCGCCCACTAGACACAACTAAGTCTCTCAGGGGGGAAGAGAGTACTTACTATTTAGTGAGTGGCAATAGTCAGTACTAAGAAAAAGAACAAAGGGGTAAAAAAAAAAA